AGTCATAACGAAACATGAATGTTTAATTCTGTTTCTCTCTCCACAGCTGTTCTGTTAAGTTTCTGCAACACTTTGGGATTTTATTTCACCTTTTCCACCTGGTTGCCAGTTGAGTAGGGAACTCTTCCTGGTTGTAGCATCGTTCCACATTGAAAGAGCACGCAACTTTCATAACTTGCAATCTTTATTTTCAGGAAGCCAAACTTTATAGGCAAATTGCATCATCTCTGTTTTACTGGAGAAATTATGAGCCAATTTAAACCTTTTATCATTGGAACAAGCAATTAGCAACAATTTAGTGACAATTTAGCAACTTGATGAGTGTGAAAGGACATTATTACAGGTGTACTACGAATGGCTATTTTCTGTCAGACTACTGTCAAAATCAACTACAGGAAAATTGTGCTCTACTTGATTAACAAGTATTCAAATTTCAATGTTTACTCTTCTCCATGGAGACGTTCTTAGAATTTGCTTTTGATTACCAATATAAAAGGTTTTGAGTGGGTTTTGATTGTCACAATGACACTTGGAAATCTCAAACGTGGTTGAAAATCAAGGTTTAAAAAAGCCACAAAAAGATGGGAAATTTAATGGACCGCTTTTATTTTCTCTCCTTGTATATGCACTTCAACGAAGGGTTATTTGCCAGCAGTGTCCAAACTAGTGACCACTCCATCTGGGGTAGGGGCAGCAAATGCATTGGAATACCATTGCCACCAGCAGATGCTCTCCCAAGTCTCAGGTCATCCTAATTTGAAGCAGTTTTGCCATTTCTTCTCTGTCACTGAGTTAATATCCTAGAACTTCCTCCCTTAAACACTTTGGATGAACCTAAACCACTTGAACAGCATTGGCTCAAGAAGGCAGCTCCCCTTCACCTTCACCAGGGCAAGTAGTAGTGAATGCTGAACTTTGACCTCATCAGCAAGAATAAATTTTTAAAGAAGACATCTGCAATTCTGCCAGTTCAGTAAGTTCCTGGATCTACCCATTTCCTTTTCGCCATGGATACCCAATTCCAACTAGTTATCACCAGAGCATCCTCCACTTCTGCCTTGATCAGAGGCCTAATCTGTTCACACCTACCTGCTCAGCTAAATTTGTTCTTACATTGAGTAACTTTTCTTTGCCTTCACCTGCTTCTTCCAAATAAAAAGTAATTTCCTATTTGAATCCATACAAGTCCTAGTTGTATCTGTCTTTTTGTCAGGTATGTGGAATGTTCTTTGCTCTAGACCTCCTTGAATCACATCCCTCAACATTTTTTTTCTGGTACATCAATGTCTTTGTACACCATTTTGCACTCTTGGCCTACTTTGATTTGCCACCATTCTCACATGATCTAACTCTGACCTTTCTCTTCCCTTGACTTTTCTGTCCCCTTCACTGGGATAAGGCTGTCAATCAGCATCTATATATAGCCCACTAATTACCACCGATACCTTGACTATGCTTCCATATTCTTCCTGAAAGGGCTTTAATTCATTGTCGCAAATTTTCCATTTTGATCATGTCACCTTCCATATCAGTGCTTCTAATATATATTTTTTCCACAAGTGTGGATTTTCCTCCACCGTAGTTTGCAGGATGCTCAAATGTGCCCACTCCATTTTCTATACACCCTGTGCCTTGTTTGTTTCTTCCCTTCCAGAATCCTTATCCTCATTTCTACCTTCGCAATCTCCATATTCAGCTGTCATTTCAGCCACTTCCAGTGTGCGATGCTAACATCAAATGTATAGTTCTGTCTGATTTCTTTCAGCATTCTAAAAGGTCCTTCATATAATTCATTTGGTCCTTACTGCAGTCATCCCCAACAGCCCTCACTTCCAAAGGCAACTTCCCATGCAAGCTCAGGTGATGCAATGCCTGTCTTATTACCTTCTACCCATCCTCCATCCTCTGGTCAAAGCCCCAAAGAGTTCTCCTGAAACAGCAGGTTTCCAATACCACTTTTAGTTGAGTGAGCTGTATTTTCTGCTGTGCTTGGCAAACCAAATACAGTTTGGCTGAGCCTTCATCAAACATCTTTGTTTAGTCTTCAATCGTCACTTGGAGCTTCTAGCTTCTCGTCATTTTAAGTGCCTACCTCAGGAAATATGATCGCATTAAGTCATTCAGTCTTCAGCCTCCGAGGCTGTTCCAGTGAAGCTGAAAGGACAGTACCTCATTTTTCTGTATCATTTCAGAGCCTTCTGGACATGAATTAATCAATTTCAGATCGTAACCCTTGTCCCTTGCTTCGCGAAGCATCTTCTAACAGTGGTTCTATTATTCCTGTTACACCTCTTCCAGATCTGTGTTTTGTTTTTTGTTCTCTTAGCTTCTTTTGCCTTACGTCATCATCCTTTCTCTTTCATTTAACTTCTCCTGTCTTCCATGAATCACACACCTTCCTTTTTATTACTTTGCCTGGATCTATGTGTGGTTTAAACCTGCTAAATTTCAAACATTTTCAGTTTTGACAAAAAAATTGGATCTGAAATACTAACTTTTTCTCTCGCTGCCTGACCTCCTGTGTATTTCCAGCATTTTCTGGTGTTGTTTCAATAAACTACCTTTCCTCTTTAATAAATAAAGGAGGCAGATAGATGGATCTACCCAAATAAATAAGAAACACAATTCTGCACAGGTAACCAAAAAAATGATTAGAAGTGTCTAGAAAATGTTTGCGTTCTTCAGCTGGACTCTCTTTTAAGTCCACTACATGGGTTCTTCCTGTAGGGAAGATCTGGCATGAAATGAAGCTTAATTGCTTTTTGCTGAGGAAAACAAACAAATCACCAGGTACTTGAACATATTCAGTTGCAAAGTAATTTTACTTCTTCACGTAAGAATTGAAGACAGTTAGTAACACTGCAGTTGTTATGATGTTACTTAGTATTTGATAATGCTTGGAGCTTTTGAAGGATTGTGGAATCTGGATCTATTTCAAAGCTCATGGAAATATCTGGAGTGTTTTTTTTTATAGGAGGTAATTAAAAAACGGTAGACATTGGAGATTATTTTTGTCGCACAAATCCTGACTGGTTATAACTGTTTGCTTTGATTTAGACCTCTGCTGAGGCTGTTTTGAACAGTGACTAGGTGGAGAGGTGCTTATTTTGTCTGTTTTAGTTGGAGACCAACCTGCTAAGAACAAGCTGAGTTAGATAAAGTTTGCAAGCTGCTGATCTGACCACTGTCTCACTTGTGAAAAGAATATCTTCTTGAGTTCAGGGTGAAACCTGTACTTTGGAAAACTGATTGCAGAAACAAAAATCAAGCGGAGTCAGGCAGGACTTCATGAAGGGGATATCATGGCCAAAAATTCATTACAGCCACTTACAATATATATTAATGACTTGGATGAGGGAAGTGAATGTACTGAAGCCAAGTTTACAGATGACACACAAATAGGTGGGAAGGCAAGTGGTCGGAGTGACACCTAGAGTTTGTAGAGAGATAGTGACACATTAAGCAAGTGGGCAGAAACTTGTCAGATGGGATATATTGTGGGAAAATGAGAGGTTTTGTACTTTGACAGGAAGAATAGAGAAGCTGACTATTATTTAAAGGAGAAAGAGTAAGCTACAGCACAGAGGGATTTGGGAGTCGTCATGCATAAATCACAAAAAAAATCACCTTAGAAGTTCAACAGTAATAGGGAAAGCAAATGGAATGTTGGCCTTTATTTCAAAGGGAATAGAGTATAAAATAGGGAGGTCTTGCTAAGACTGCACAAGAACACAGTGGAAATGCCGTGAACAGTTTTGGTCCCCCATCAAAGGAAAGGTACACTGGCATTGAAGGCAGTCCAGGGAAGGTTCACTAGGTGGATCCTAGTTATGGAGGGACTGTCTCATGGGAGTTTAGGAGAATGAGAGATGACCTTTTTGAATCTCAATATTCTTAGGGGACTTGACATTATTTAATATACTGAATATTTAATATACAAATATTTAATATACTGAAGAACAGATTTTAAACTAGTAAGAGGGAATCAGGTTTTATGGGGAAAAGGCAGGAAAATGGAGTTGAGGATTATTATATTAGTCAAGATCGCATTGAATAATGGAGAGACTTGATGGACTGAATGGCCTGCAGCTGCTCATTCATCTTATGGTCTTATCTCAGTTATATTTCCTGAGTAAGCTATGTTTGAAATGCTTCAGGGACAACAGTTTGTAATTAGTGACTTGACCACACCAGCCAGAACACCAGGGCACCACTGAAATTTGATAAAGCTGTACATAATGTAAAATAGGCAACAGCTTATTGAATACTCTGTGTAGTTCTGATTGCCAGACTATAAGAAGGATGTGATTGCACTAGAGAGGGTGCAGAGGAGATTCACCGTGGTGTTTGCTGGACTGGAGTGATTCAGCTATAAATAGAGACAGTGGGTTAGAGTTGCCTTTCTTGGATTAGAGAAGGCTGAGGGGGTAACTGATTGAGGTGCATAGTTATGAGGAGCATAGATAGGGAGAAACGTTTCCCCTTGATAGAGTGTTTAATAACCAGGGGGCCCAATTTTAAAGGTCAGAAGCAGGAGGTTTAGAGGGGATTTAAAGACAATGTTTTTCACACAGTGGGTGGTGCGTATCTGGAACTCACTGCCTACAAGGATGGTAATGGTGAGAACCCTCAAGATGTTTAAGAACAATGTAGATGAACAGTAGAAATGCCATAGCTTACATAATGGGAAAAGTGCTAGAAAATGGGACAAGTAGAAGCTTGATGACTGGTGTGGATACACTGGCCTGAGGGACCTTTTTCTATTCTACCCTATATACTCTAACCCATTTGATTTGTAAACCCATTGATTGTAACTAGAAAAAGTATTTTTATTTTTTTGTTCTGACCTGTGGAGTAGTAGGACGAGAGAGATGATGCACTCTACCAGCATAAGTCATAATATAATACACAGCAGTCATTGTATATTATTGTAAGTGTAAAGAATGACCATTTGTATAAAATACTCACGCTATAGAAATCCTGTTTCTGTTCTCTTTCAGATATGATGCCTCTTTTGCATAATTACGTGACCGTAGACACTGATGCATTTCTGTCTAATCCGAAAAACGTAGAGATTATTTATAACTTGTGTAAAAAGGTAAGTTCTTAAAGTCAAGTATTAGCTAAAGAAAGATACACCCTTCATTTATATAACTTTTCACACCCACAAACCGTCCTGCCAGTGAATTATTCTTTGATGTCAGGTCAGGACCGTATTCTGGAAGTAGACAGCAGTTTGTTTACCCTCAAAGTTCTTTTAACAGCAACAAAATTAATGATCATTAAATCTGATTTGGTAGTATTGTCTAAGAAATAAATGTTGGCAAGTGCACACTGAGAGCTTCTATGTCTTTGCGAACTTCTAAACTTAAATCAGAACAGGCATCCTTGGCTGAATGTCACACAGAGCAAGGCTCTTTGGCTTAATGTCCCTCAGAACAGAAATCTTTAGCTTAATGTTTCATCTGAAAGGTGGCGGCTCCAATAAGTCAGCACGTTTTTAATCCAATTAGTGATTCACAGGAGGCCAAAGTTAGAGTAATATGGCAGCGTACAGGCAAGGATAGTGTTAGATGGAATAGTGACTGGTTTTATAGAAGTAGGAAGTTACAAAGCATGACAGGATTCACATGTGTGGATCAAGTTTTTTTGTTAAATAGGATATGGCAGCCAAGTTTTAGATAAACTGCACTTTAGGAATGGGTGGGAGGCCAACTATCAGCACAGATTATGTGCTTAAATTTTGGTGGGAATCTTGAATTCACAACCATTTAGTGCCGCCAGATAGTTATGGGGGACGGTGAATTTGCACAGAATATTAAATTGAATGTTGCTTTTGTAAGAATTGCTGATGCTGCAAAATTAACTTTATATATAATGTTTATGAATCTGACTAACTCAGATATTTCCACTTAAGCATAGTTTGGGTTAATTTTTCAAGGTGTCTCATCTTCTGCGAAAAGTACAGATAGTGCAGTTTGTGAACTTCCCATTTTTTTTTAGATTGACTGACTGTAGTGCACCTAGGTTGGGATGCAGTGTTGTAATCAGCAACCTCTGTCAGAAATATCCATGAGGTAGCAGGGCACTGGGCCTAGCTGAGTTCCTCTAGCAATGTCAATGCCATCATGTAGCACTCCATATCGAGGCTTACATGCCAACATACTTGGGGTGGAGTGGGGGGAAATGGGGACACACTGTCATCAGGCATTTGCTGTGTAGAATGTCTTCTAGAGAGGCGAGAAAATGGAAACAAAATAAGTGTTACTATTGCAGTGTACTCCTTCACACTCTGAAAATCTGTAATTATATCAGATCCTCATTCAAGAATTTTTGCCAGTTCTCTTTGTTTCACTCATTCCTGCCCTAGGCATAGCCACTCACAAATTATCCAAGGCCTAGATAATATATTGCTAATTACGTGAGCAAATGTTTACTTGCGGTTTCATCACTGGACGGTTGTGGCATTGCAATACAGTTGCAGGTAATGACAGAGTAAATAGGGAGAAACTGTTCCTATTGACAGAAGCATCCAGAAGGAGAGGACACTGATGTAAGGTGATTGGTAAAAGAAGTAATGGTGACTTGAGGAATATTTTGTTTTAAGTAGTGAGTAGTTAGGATTTGGAAAGTACTGCCGGTGGTTTGATGAAGGCAGATTGAATAAAGATTTTCAAGAGAGAACTGGATAATCACTTGAAAAGAAACAAAAATATGCAGGGCTGTGAGCAGAAGCCAAAGCTGTAGGACCAGGTAAGTGGCTGTTACAAAGAGTCAGTCCAAACATAAAGGGTCAAATGACCTCCTTCTGTGCTGTGTTACCATTCCTTGTTTCTGTGAATGACGTTAACGAAAAGTGTTGCAATTTTCTGTCCAAGTGCTGGGAGTGTTTTACAGAAAGTATCTTAATCTTCACCATGTATCATCACTGCCCATGTAGTCAGCTTGTCTATATTTTACAGGACGTTTTAAGTAAAGGTGGTACATTTATTTGGCCCTTGTATAATTGTTTTCAAATCTAATCCTTCATTCCACAAGCCTGTAATTATGTAATATATTCTCAGGTCCTCACTGGGGATGCTGGGGAAGACGCAGAATGCCATGCTGCAAAACTGCTTGAGGTGATTATCCTTCAATGTCGAGGAAAGGGCATTGATCAGGTAACTTGATGGACTGACATGAATGTATCTTGGGATAAAATCTCTAACTTTGATTTCCACAGCAAAGACAGTGGGTCACATGAGGCCAGCTGGAGCACTGTATTGTATAGGCTTGATTAACTGATAATAATTGATCTTTCCGTAAATTATGGAGATGATTAATTAATCCATGGATTTGTTCAGCAAGAGATCAGCATATTTATATGTAACATGCTGAATTGACAGTTCAATTGGAAATGTTGGCTTAGTTTGTTCAGCAGAATTCTGTGCCTAATGCGTAGAATCTTCATCTCCTACCAACTAAGTGACCAGTGAACCATTTTAGTTTTTGTTTTATTTAGCAGTTCATTTGTATCCTCATACTAGCTAATCCTCTTCCCCATGCAGTCACAGCATTCAGTATTGCAGAGGGATATCTCAGAACGTCACTTTTGTACAATGTTAGATCCAGCTGTTGTGATGTATTCACAAATATCCTGATTCGTGCTGTATGCTTAGATTGATGTTAGTACAGCCTGCGGGCTTGAATTAAGATTAATGTGTTTTCTCTTGCAAGTAGGCATGTTTCTCTTGTGAATATTGGATTCTCTGCTGCCTTGTCATTTCTACCTCATTCAAGGCTAGATTTAAGATTTGCTGTGAATTAATAAGCTATTTATGATTTTTACCTGTGACATTCTGTGTTCTACATATTCTGTATCAGGATTCAAATCTCATCTGTAAAAGTCATTATGAACATATGAAGAAGGAACAAGAATAGGCCACTCGACCTTTTTGAGCCTGCTCCATCATTCAATAAGATCATGGCTGATCTGTTTTTAACCTTGATTCTACTTTGCTGCATATTCCCAGTAATCCGTGATCCCCTTAGTAATCAAGAACTTATCTCTGTCTGTCTTAAAAATATTCAAGTTTCTGCATCTGCTGCCTTTTGAAAATTCCAAAGACTGCGAACCCTTTGAGAGAAACAAACTGTTTTCCTCCTCTCTCTTAAATGGGCAAGCCCTTATTTTTAAACTATGACCCCGAGTTCTAAGTTCTTCCGTAAGAGGCAACATCCGTTTGAGAGTCCACTGTTCCCAGCTGCTTTACTGCAATGCTGACTGCAGACCACTCTCCCCAGCCTGCTTAGCTGCAATGCATTGTTCTTCCTTTAAAATTCATTTACATATTTAGAATCATGGTATGAATGTGCTATTTTTTGTGGTTAAGGCCTCATGATGCATTAGTCTGCATCTTCTAAGAAAGTATGTCAGTTGTAAAATTGCACCAATGAGTGAGATGCATCACTAAAATCTCGGGCTTGAAGTATTGAAACAGGTATGATTTATGCGCTGAAATAAAGTCAAGTACTCACTCAACTTCTGAGAACAGGAACTGCAAAGGGGTCCATACATGAAATATTCAGTGGAGCTGTTTTTTGTTTATTTTTCAGGCCTCCCTCTTAGGTTGACACTGATTGATATTTAAGATAGCTGAGTGCCTACACCACACTGGTATCTGACCCAAGGGGCTGTTTTACTGTTTTCACAGCAAGTATCCACAGAATATTTGACTGCCAAAGTGATTAAAACTAAACCCAATATGACCTCTGTTAATACAACCTCTATTCACATTTTCCAGCAGGGATAGAGATCAGGAAGGGAATTTATATTACTCTATCGTGAAAGCATACTGACATTGATAGTACACACAAGGCTGAACTGGCCAAGGGTTACCTCAATAAACCAGGAATCAGGCTGAAAACGTCTTTGGCTTCCTATATTCAATCAAAGCATTTGTCCACTGAACCTTTTTTGTAAAGGAAGACAGTATTTGGATGAATCGCAGTGTGGTGATCCAGCATCTCATCTCTCTTTTCCTCCTCACTGCTCCAATGTTCCTCATGTCTATGGTCCATTGCGATATCTTCTGATAGACACATTATGGCTGAGCTTGTTGTGTGCTGCCTATTTTCATAAAGGCATATACTATCCACTTTCCAAGGGAAAAAAAAACTTAAGCTGAATTTTTTTTCAACACAAATGTTTTTGATGGCTGTGAAATAGTTTTTTTCTGGGAATTTTAGGCCTATATTTACCTAAAAGCAGGCAGTTGACTATTGGTTAGACATTTCATTAAGAAGCAGCAGTTTAGCTGATGGGGAGGCGATGGCCTAGTGGTATTATCACTGGACTGTTAATCCAGAAACTCCGTTAATGTTCTTGGTATCAGCGTTCAAATCCTGCCATGGCAGATGGTGGAATTTGAATTCAGTGAAAATCCGGAATTAAGAGTTCAATGACCATGAATCCATTGTCGATTGTCAGGAAAAACCCATCTGGTTCACTAATGCCCTTTAGGGAAGGAAACTGCCATCCTTACCTGCCCTGGCCTATGTGTGACTCTAAACCCACAGCAATTACTTTCAACTGCCCTCTGGGCACTAAGGGATGGGCAATAAATGCTGGTCCAACCAGTGATGCCCACATCCCATGAGTGAATTTTTAAAAAACTAGACAGCAAAGAATGTACAACTCATGATAGTTGACAGTGGTTCACTGATGCCAGGAGATGAACCAATGGTTGACACAGAGTATGTAGATCCTGCTCCCTAACTAAAGCCCCTTGGATCTTTCTTATTTCCTGGTTTGGCTTCCTTCTGAAAAATGATAGCATTGTGACATAAAGGGAAAGAACGGTCCCCTGTCTCTAAGCACTTATTGATAATCCTTATCACTAGGGGCTGAGATAGGATTCGGGTTAGGGTTAGTGCTGAACTGGTCAATCACTTGTTTGAACCCCTCCGTCCGATAATTACTGAATCCATACCCAAATGTCAGCATGATTATCTCCTGACTCGAGATAATGTACATTATTCTGGGAACATCTCTAGCCCTTTTTAAACACTGTCATTGATAAGGGTCTAAAGAAGGCGCCATCTTGGAATATCAATATGGACGGGTGAGAAAAGTGACATAGATGCTTGCAGGGTCTATTTACTGCCCATCCCCCGTTGCCCTTGAGAAGGTGGAAGCTTTTGAACTGCTGCCGTCCATGTGCGGTAGGTAGACCCACAAGGTTGTCAGGGAGAGAATTCCAGGATTTTGACCCAGCAACAGTGAAGTAGCGACAATATATTTCCAAGTCAGGATGGTGAGTGTCTTGGAGGGCAACTTGCAGATGGTAGTGTTCCCGTATATTTCTGGAGAGAGAAAGAAACCTATTTCGCTAATGAAGTGGTCTAATGCTAAGCAGAGCAGTTCTTACAAAGCATTTGTGTACCTATTCTAAAAAGCGTAATTTAATAAAGGTTCAGTTTTTTTGTACATTGAAAGTGAACAAGTTACTAGACAGTCCAGCATTGAAGGGTGAAAATTATTTATGAAGAATAAAGCAGCAGCTTCCATGTACATCCTGAAAATTCTAAAAGTGTATATATTTTCTCTGTCTCACTAGTGTATTCCATTGTTTGTTGAAGCAGTCCTGGAGCGACTAACACGTGGAGTTAAAACGAGTGAACTCCGGACCATGTGTCTTCAGGTGGCCATTGCAGCCCTTTACTACAGCCCCATGCTGCTTGTGAATACCTTGGAAAACATTCGCTTTTCACACAGTGCAGAACCTATCACAGCACAGTTTATTAATCAATGGATGAATGACACAGATTGCTTCCTTGGGTAAGCAAATCCTTTGGTCAGGTAAATAATCAATGTTGTATTTTTTTTGCTGAATCACAAAATTTGCTGCAAATCTCAAGGTGCTGGCAGAAGTTTGAACACCTAGCTAAAGGCAGGCAATGTTTGTTTTCTTTTAAGTACTTGTACAGAGCACAGGAGTATTTACACAAAAAAACATTTAGGTAGCATGTACTTCAGGATACAGAGTTTCTGCAGTTTCCAACTCATTATTTGAAAGACATTGAAACTATACATTGTATACAGTGTTAATTCTCAAGAATTATTGTTGAGGCTGCAATTAGAAAAGACTAAAGGTACTGTTGACAGTGAATGGGAGAAGTCTGAGATTATTTAGCAAGTAAATTACGCTTCACATTTTACAATGTGGATCAAAATGTTGAATTATTCTCAAGGGAGTTATGCACCACAAAAAGAGGTCTTTCAACTCATTGTGCCCATGCCTACTCTTGGAAAGGACTCTGCCGTAAATCCCACTTCTGAGCACTTTCCCCATTGCTTTGCTCAAAGTTCTACATTGAGTGCTTACCCTGTTCCCTTTTGAACTTTATTTTTGCATCTATTTGTACCAGTCTTTCGGTCAGTTAGAAGACATGGTGTGGAAATAACATCAGGATCAACAAGGAGGCTTAGGTTTTCTTGCTGCTGGTATTAAACTTAAAATAGGATTGTACAAATTTGGTCCTATGAACATGAATGCATTTGTGCGTGTTTATTGCTATAATATTTACTTGGAACATTTTTCTGCAGCAGTTTCCATTTATTAGTTAACTTTTGAAAATAGGCCCCCTGCCCCATTTGGTTTTTTTGCTGTTCTCTCCTGCACATTATTACCAGGAGTATATACAAAAAGCATTGTACTGAGATATGGACTGACCAGATTTACTGAAGTTTCAAAAATCTCATTATCAAAAGGGCATTTGAACCATTTATACATTCTGGACAGTGTAGATTCACCAAAATTATTTTTTGTGGTTGACAAGTGGTTAGTACTAGCAAAGACTAGAAATGCTATGAGACTATTAACACAGAGGGTGAGAAGACTAGGGTATAATTTAGTATCTGTTTTAAATTAGAAAAGGTTTTGCTCATCTAAATAGGTAGACCCATTTCCTTTGATTGGGAATAAATAGACATTTGGGGTGTGCATATGGGACTGTCACTGACCCTCTGGACTGTAGGTCAAGAGACTATTGAAAGTCAGGACTATTCAGGACTGTTTTGAGCGCCCCATTTTTCAACATGGTTTAATGTGAGTACTCACATGCTGAGAATTTGGTTATGTAGTCTAAATACACCCAATGGAAAACATAATAGGACCAAATACTGTGTCTCAATTTACCACAATTTTATCATCCATTAGATAGCAGTCTGCTCCACTTACAGTTCCAGTGCAGAAGGATATAGAAAAATAAGTGTTGCAACAGACTGGCACAATGTCTTGAATTTATAATATTTTATAATTTATTTTGTCTCTGTGACAGCAGTAAAACTTATTGCAGTAGCAATGCTGTATTAATAATAAAGATAACCAAAAAGTTTTATAATGCTCATACCGTGAGTAAATTTGTCATTGCTTGCTTCATTTATTTTGATTGTTTTAAAAGAAAATGGTTAAACGAATTCAAGCTTACCTACCTGAATTGGATTTAATAATGTGTTCTGACTGCAGTTTAAAGCCTCCATTATAATTGCTTTTATTGCCAGGCTTCATGATCGGAAGGTCTGCATCATTGGTCTGAGCACACTAATGGAAATGCAAAACAGACCAGAAGCTGTGGATGCTGTGGCCGCTCAAATTCTACCTTCATTGCTGCTCCTCTTCCTTGGCCTAAAACGAGCATATGCAAGCAGAGCTCCCAATGACCAGAATGAGAATGGAGAAGAAGCTAATGAGGACACTGAAGAAAACGGTTCTTTGTTTCTTTGTTATGCATTTACTTTTCTAATGAACGCAGACTTCTCTTCGGTGTGTGCATATAGTTTGCTAATGAATGCAGGCTTCTCTTCAGCGTGTGCATATGATCCCTCTCCATTTTCTTTTCCTATTATCAAGGAGTGAATGCTGTGTTATCAGCTGAAGGCATCAGGTACCTTCTCTAGATGGCCATTATTGTGAGAATCAGCAGGATATTTGACTATTGCTGGTAGAATCCAACCAAACCAAATAATACAGCTATCCAACATCCATATGTTCATTTTCCATCTGGGATTGTTGGATAATTGTCAGGAGTGAGGCTGCTAACTTTCCTCCCTGTAACCAGCCCCAAGGGATGCTGAAGCCATTTGTGATAGTACTATTGTCATTTAAAGTCGTTTCACCCCTTGCCTAAGACAGATTTTATAACCAAGTCCCAGACTTAACACATTTAGCACCAACATCTAGGTAATTATTTGCACTAATGAGCATGTGCACCTAGCTTGCATTATGGTTGTTGCACAGAAAATAAAGGAGATTTAAAAATCTCAGGCTACTTTTTGCTCATGCTGTTATCCCATAATTTTTGTTGAGTGCAAAATGGACTGAGCAAAGTTTTGTTTGATAATTTAATAACCTGTTGAAGATTAATTATGGTGACAATTCTCCATGAAGTGTGGGCAAGCTGTTTTGTCAAATTGAATCAGATGCAGGAATGACTCTACCAATCTGCAAGCACAAGCTACCAGGAAAGATCAAAGGACAGCAGCTGTGTACAGGACCCTGACAAATTACCCCGTGCACTGCAATTCATTGAAACCAGCTTCTGGACTCTGACTGAGACGTTTGGGGAAAATATTTAGCAATAACACCTGAAGGAATATTCATCAAATTTAATAGACTTGCATTTAATACGTGCTGCAGAAGCTGAATCATTTTATCTGGGAGACAGTGCTGTAATGGTAATGTCGCTGGACCAGTCATCTGGAGACCCGGGGGACACTGGTTCGAATCCCACTATAACACTGGCGTGATCTGAATTCAGTAGATTATAATAAAAAAGGTCCAGAATAGTAGCCATGAAATTATCATCAATAGTCATAAAGGCCCATTCTGTTAACTGATGTTCTTTAGGGAAGGAAAATCTGTCATCTTTACCTGGCTTGGCCCCCCATGAGCTGACACTGACAGTAGTGTCCCTCCAACAGTTACCTCAGCTGACGAGAATTAAATTAAGAACCATGGCTTTCTACAGTTAGCTGCTTCCTGGTTAAACTAGCTGATACATCAGTTGAGCATCAATGATCTTTTCTTTACCCTGACATAATCCTTAATGTGCCCATGCTTTTATTGAACAAAGGTTTTCTCTCTAAAGTGTAATTTTCAATTTCAGAAGAGATTCCAAGTGATGAAGATGACATTCGCGAAGCAGGGCAGCAGTACCTGGAGATGTTGGAGCAGCACCAGGTGCAGGATGATGACGAGGATGATGATGATGATTGGGATGAAGATGGTTTAGAAGAAACCGCTCTGGAAGGATTCTCCACACCTCTAGACGAAGACAATAGTGTTGATGAATATCAGATATTTACGTCAGCACTCCTAAGTATGTGTTTTCAGATTGTATACTCATAATTGAAATTTAATCATTTAACTAAATGGTTCAATGAGCATCTGATGAATTCTTAAAAAAAAAAGTCTTGTTTCCATGTGTCACAATTTATATCAGTCAAATGCCATACTGCAGAAGAGTATGTTGAAATAAAACATGAGCATTGCATGAATTGTTTTCCAGTGAAATAATTTATTTTCAACCACTCAAATCACTTAAAACATGTCCTAAATAACATGAGATAACAAGGTGTAGAGCTGGATGAACACAGCAGGCCAAGCAGCATCAGAGGAGCAGGAAAGCTGATGTTTCGGGTCTGGACCCTTCTTCAGACCCGAAATGCCAGCTTTCCTGCTCCTCTGATGCT